TCTTATTTGGTGAATCTCGTGATGCAATTCTGCTGTTGGTTCGAGGTCACGACTATCTGGACTCATATGTATGATGCTGTTTGATTGCTGAAGTTGCTATTGCTCATCTTCCTTGCAATTTGGTATCGGATCTGTGGTACGATTGTGCTCATCTGGCGCTTGTCTTCTGCCTTATGCGGTACATACATGCGGTCTGCTTGGCAAGTTTGGCCGTAAGTGTTGTGTAGTGAGGAGGGTGGAGAGGAGTGTATAGGCAACCCAGGAGGTGAGGGGATCGCCAGGAAGGCTACGTGGGGGTAATGTGGTCTGGACAGTGTGATGAGAACTATCTAATGTGCGATTGATGCTGAGGTGGAACGGCGAGATAATGCTGGTTGTGCCGATGCAGTGACCGGTCATCGCAATTGCCATCAGGTCATCTGGTGAGATTATCTTTGTGGTTGGGGGCAGCTCTTTGAGGTACGTTGCTCTTAACCTTGTCTACCCTCTCCGACACTTCTGACCGTGAGGTTGTGTGTTCCTTCTTGAGAGTCCTCTCATTATGAGGTGTCGAGTGTGCTCAACCTTGAGAGTCGGCAATGTTCACGTGGAGCATCTAGAAGAAGATGGGCGGAGCTTTCTGAAGGGCCCTGGATGAAGCACTGGGTCACGGTCACCATGCCAACCCACCGGGAGTAGAGCACCATTTGCTGCTTGTCCTTTGTTTGGCTTGCTGCGCTGTTAGATGGGTACTGAAGGGCAGGCCAGCACTTAAGGGAGACGAGACTGGGCGTCTTTAAATAAGCACCGGTAGGGGAACCATTGGCTGTGATCGTCGTCCGACTGCGACGTAAAAGACTTCCTGGAGTCACTTGGGGGCGGACGTTAAATTGCCTCTGGATCAGCCAATGGTTGTAGGGCTCGCTGCACGCGAGGATAATCCAGTGCAGGGCTGGCCAGCTCAGCAGATACTCGGGGCACAGGGGTGGGCCGAATACACACCTTTAGACACGTGGCGCTCTCCAGGTTGCTCAGGGACGCTGACGTCAAGTGATACTCAGGGGGACTAAGGGAGGGGTTGATTCCAGGTGACAAGTTCGAGAAAATTCCATGCTGTCCTATCCGCACAAGTGATTCTATTTTTATGTTTTGACTAGTTAGGTGAACAGCCATTGACATCTGACAGACAGCATTAGTTGGAACTGCTTCTTGTTCATGGTGCTTCTGTTTGCGGACTAGTCAAACTAAAAATAGTTTCGTTTGTAGGAATCTGACTTACCTGTTGACCTCAAGTGATATCTGTTCCAAAATAGCAACCACCTAATTAGTTGGTCTGTGCACTACGCTGCGGTAGGCATCTAGAGTGCATTAGTGCAGATTGTGTACAGTGCTGTAGCTTATGAGCGATAGGGAGGAACAGCAACCGGACGACCGGATCTTGCGATCGGCAAGGCGCCCAGTAGTCCACTTGGCATTAGGACTAGAGGGCGACATACATCTGTTCCGCCAACTTAGGGAGAGGCAGCAACAGCAGAGGAGGGCTAGAGCAGCAGAGGCTAGCAGGGCACTTGTGAGTGAAGCCGCAGCTTCAGAAGCCATGGCCACCTCAGCACAACAGTCCTCTCAGGCCGGTAGTTCAGGGTCTGTCGGGTCAACGGTCGTGCAGACCCAGAGTCAGTCCACTGGCATAATGGTGAGCCAGCCATTGGTGTTGACATCCGATGAGATCGCCATACATGAGGCAGCTCTAAAAGAGGCACAACTACAACATGCATGAGGACAGATAAAAGCAGAGAAGGAAAGAATGATTAGAAGAAGAGCCAGGATGCAGCGGAGAGAAGCGGACGTTAGTGAGTTAGAGGAGATGGACCTGACTCACGTAACGGATGATGTGAGGATCATCCGGTCTACCCTGCTGAATGTAGTGGAGATGCAGGACCAGCAAACAACCATCCTTCAAGACATCCAGCAAAGTCTGGCCCTGTTGGTTGGGCGAGCGCCAGCAACGTCACCAATGTCCGGGCCTGGTGCCTGGCCCGTTGTACATCCTCCTCCTTATGTCCCACCGGTGACTGGGGTATCCCCATATGTAGCCCCATCATCGGTAGCGATCGTTTCCCTGGGCATGCCGCTTTCAGGAGGGGTATCAACAAGGACTACTTTGCAGGTTCTTGTACAAACAATGTACACCCAATCTCCGTTGCAGGTTGCGGTCACCACGCAGCCTGCTGTCTCGCAGCGTGTGCAACCGCAAGGCACACAGCCCCAACAGCTAGCACAACAACCTGTGACAGAGGGTCCACAGCCCGGAGTGATGCAGGGACCGGGAAAAACACAGTGGGTCCCAAAGACGGCCATTGCCGCTCCGAAACCCTTCACAGGGGATAAGAGAGGTGAAGACCTCGACACGTGGTTGAGGACAGTGCCAGTCTATGTCAGGTGTAAACTTACCTTGCCACACGAAGAAGTGCTTGTGGCCGCTTCCTACCTAGAGGGTAGTGCAGCAGGATGGTTGAGTGGTTTAGTGCAACTCCAGGGGTATGGTCATGACTTCTGCGCTTGCGCAGTCACCCAGAAATTGGATGACTTCCTTAAGCTGGTGGAAGAAAGGTGGCATGATCCTCAGGAGGCCCAAAGGGCCACTGATGCAATCTTGACACTGCACACGCGGCAATTTAAGTCAGTAAGGGAAGCCACCGACGCTGTTGAGCGTCTGATCTGTGTCCCTGGGGTGCGCTATGACCCCCAGGTTTTACTTACCTCGTACCTAAGATGCTTCTCTTTGCTTCTCAGGAACCAGTTGGCAAGTCAGGCCAACATCAATATGCTCAACTTTCCTTCGTTTAGCAAGATGGCCCTAGACCTTGAGGCGAAGATAGGGCATGGACAGGCACCCACTACGGATGGTAGGAAGAAGACACTGCCTCCCAACTGGAAGGCGAAGGGCAGCCTAATGTTTGTCGATAACGATGGTTCTACTATCGAGCTAGACGACAACTTCCAGGAGGGAGTAGGTTCAAAGGCGGGCAGCGTAGAAGCTTCAGGGGGTGGAGTAGTCGTTGCTGTAACTCAGAAAGGTAAGGCGACCGGTAGACTCCGTGGAGG